TATCTGAGACGCATGATTTTCCCCTAAACGCCAAGTGGTCGAATGTTCAAATGGTCGAATACCAAGTAGTCGAATCGTTAACTGGTCGAATGCTAGAAACATCGAATAGTCAAAACGTCGAATGTTCAAAACATCGACTCATCAATTGATCGAATGTTCAAAACGTCGAATCGTCATTTGGTCGAATGCTAAAAACGTCGAATCGTCAAATGGTCGAATGCTCAATACGTCGAATGCTCAAATGGTCGAATGCTCAAAAGGTCGAATGCTCAAATGGTCGAATGCTAAAAACATCGAATTCTCAAATAGTCGAATGTTCAAAACGTCGAATCGTCAAATGGTCGAATGCTAAAAACATCGAATTCTCAAATGGTCGAATGTTCAAAACGTCGAATCGTCATTTGGTCGAATGCTAAAAACGTCGAATCTTCAAATGGTCGAATGCTAAAAACATCGAATTCTCAAATAGTCGAATGTTCAAAACGTCGAATCGTCAAATGGTCGAATGCTAAAAACATCGAATTCTCAAATGGTCGAATGTTCAAAACGTCGAATACCAAGTAGTCGAATCGTTAACTGGTCGAATGCTAGAAACATCGAATAGTCAAAACGTCGAATGTTCAAAACATCGACTCATCAATTGATCGAATGTTCAAAACGTCGAATCGTCATTTGGTCGGATGCTAAAAACGTCGAATCGTCAAATGGTCGAATGCTCAATACGTCGAATGCTCAAATGGTCGAATGCTCAAAAGGTCGAATGCTCAAATGGTCGAATGCTAAAAACATCGAATTCTCAAATAGTCGAATGTTCAAAACGTCGAATCGTCAAATGGTCGAATGCTAAAAACATCGAATTCTCAAATGGTCGAATGTTCAAAACGTCGAATCGTCATTTGGTCGAATGCTAAAAACGTCGAATCTTCAAATGGTCGAATGCTAAAAACATCGAATCGTCAAATGGTCGAATGCTCAAAAGGTCGAATGCTCAAATGGTCGAATGCTAAAAACGTCGAATCGTCAAATGGTCGAATGCTCAAAACGTCGAATCGTCAAAAATTCGAAAAATTTGCTTGGTTTAAGTTAATGTTGACTTAAACCAAGCAAATTTTTCGAATTTTTGATGATTCGACGTTTTGAGCATTCGACCATTTGAGAATTCGACGTTTTGAGCATTCGACCATTTGAGGATTCGTCGTTTTGAGCATTCGACCATTTGAGAATTCGACGTTTTGAACATTCGACCATTTGAGAATTCGACGTTTTTAGCATTCGACTATTTGACGATTCGACCTTTTGAGTATTCGACCATTTGACGATTCGACCTTTTGAACATTCGACTATTTGACGATTCGACGTTTTTAGCATTCGACTAAATGACGATTCGACGTTTTGAACATTCGACCATTTGAGAATTCGATGTTTTTAGCATTCGACCATTTGACGATTCGACCTTTTGAGCATTCGACCATTTGACGATTCGATGTTTTTAGCATTCGACCATTTGAGAATTCGACGTTTTGATCATTCGACAAATTGACGATTCGATATTTTGAACATTCGACGTTTTTAGCATTCGATGTTTTTAGCATTCGACCAGTTAACGATTCGACTACTTGGTATTCGACCATTTGAACATTCGACCATTTGTCGTTTAGGGGAAAATCATGCGTCTCGATTATCTCTATTTGATTATTAAAGCACAGACAGGGTGTCTACTGAAAATATGACTTAAAATTCCAGGACAGATTTTTTATTTTTCCAGGACATTTACATGTGTAATATTATTTCATATTACGATTAACATAATTTAAATTAACCTATACTTAAACAAAAATATTTATTTTATTATAAAAAGAGTTCAAAATCAATATTATATATAGATATCAGATTCTTTAATCAAAGGACAAATTAAAATTATTTTTTGATGGATCAAAAAAATTATTTTTTTAAATTTGAGTAAAATTTTTAAATTATTGAATATTTAAAAGCAAAATATGGAAAATTCAAGGATATTTCAGGACATTTCCAGGAATTCCAGGACATCATTTTTTAAAAGAAAAAATGTAGGAAAAATATTAAGTGGAATAAAATTCCAGGCATTTCAAATTTCCATGACATTTCCAGGTATTCCAGACCTTTTTTAAAAAATCCCTGACTTTTTCAGGTTTTCCACCCAAGGGGCACACGATAACTAAAAGGCATTAAAATGTTGATATCTACTCAAAACGATAACTTGAAGTTATCAAAAAGAGAAGTGTGCCCGCTGGGCAGGTTTTCCAGGTTCTGTAGCAACCCTGTCATTAAGTTAACTTTAAAAAAGTTAACAAAATGTTATCTAAAGATCGCTGATCTAATGATAATTTTAAACAGTTAACAAAATGTTATCTGAAGATCGTTGAACTAATGATGATTTTAAATAGTTATCGTTTTAATTACTATTATACTACACAAAAATGTCAACTTAAAAATATCCCTACTAAAAAAATAATGACAAAACATCAGAAAAATAATCAGAATTTCTGGTGTTTTTGAGCAGTTTTTCTTACAATTGCAGCTCAAAAACATGAAAAAGAAATAGAACCCTTCAAAATACTGCCAAGAATCATGAAAACTTTTATGACTGCCACCGAATTTTTTTATAGCACAGCAAAAAATCTTTTTTGGGGATGTATTCTTGTTCCTTTATGTAAAAGGGTCGTCACGCCTTTTAAAACTTAGGTATACCATCGAGAAACCATTATACATTTTTTAATGTTTAAAATCATTTTTGTTCATTTCAACATTATATTTAATGTTTATAAACTCAGATTATTTTGAAGACTGTTTTACGTATACCTTATACTCTCTTGGATTAAAATTCAAAAATGATATCAGTTTTTACATATCAGTTATAGTTCACGAGATAGCTTATAATTTCTTCAAAATAAAGTTTCTTAGAATAAATTTTAGATATTTGGAATCATGAAATATCACAGATTCTGAATTTTTAAATTATAAACTTCAATTAGTTAAATTAAACAAATTTCAAGTCATAAAATTTTTGTTTAAACAATCATAAACCTTCAGAACAATGCCTTTTTTTGCCCACTCGACACAACTCAGTCACAATGACCAATTCGCTACGCACCTTTCTGTAACAATAGATTTCCGAGTCTTTTGTGATGATTTTAAGACAAGAATTTTATAACTTAAAACTTTTGCATTTTAACTAATGCAACTTTGTAACATAAAAATTTAGAATCTATGGTATTTTACGATTCCAAATATCTAAAATTTATTTTAAAAATCATTTTTTTAATTATCACCCAAACCTTATAATTTATTTTAATAAATGTTTTTTAAAATAAATTTTAGATATTTGGAATCGTAAAATACCATAGATTCTAAATTTTTATGTTACAAAGTTGAATTAGTTAAAATGCAGAATTTTAAAGTTATAAAATTCTTGTTTTTAAATCTTCACATTCACATTCGGAAAATCTATTGTTAAAGAAAGGTGCACCGCGAATTGGTCATTGGGACTGAGTTGAGTCGAGTGGGCAAAAAAAGGCATTGTTCTGAAGGTTTATGATTTTTTAAACAAAAATTTTATGACTTGAAATTTGTTTAATTTAACTAATTGAAGTTTATAATTTAAAAATTCAGAATCTGTGATATTTCATGATTCCAAATATCTAAAATTTATTCTAAGAAACTTTATTTTGAAGAAATTAAAAGATACGCTTCAAGTATGGTCAGCTTGGTTTGTGAAGTGAGAAGCTGATAGAGTTCTCACAAAACGCATCAAATCCATTCTAAAAATTCTGTCAGAAATAATCTGAAAAATGACAAATCATCAGAGTCAAGAAGAAGCATCAGAAAATCTGACGAATAATCAGAACTCTGATGTTTTGTCATGATTCCTCATTATTTTTTTAGTAGGGATTATCAATCAGATAATTGTTGTCAAATTTACATACACATTTTCAATAACTTTTTGTTACCTTTTACGACTTTGCAAATTGTTAACAAGATTTCGGTAAATATATGTTAACTTTTCAAAGTCAACAATTTGATGGTTACATTTCGTTAACTTTTCAAAGTCAACAATTTGATGGTTACATTTTGTTAACTTTTTGTTGACAATTTCCATTATCAAAAAGATGACTTGAAAACGGTAACTTAAAGTTAGAGAGTAAAAACTTAATTTAAAACTTAATTTAAAACTTAATTTAAACTTAATTTACTTAACTTAACTTAACTTAGAGTTAGAGAGTTCTCTCTCTCTCTCTCTCTCTCTCTCTCTCTCTCTCTCTCTCTCTCTCTCTCTCTCTCTAAAAAGAATTTGTAATATTTGAAAAAACATAAAATATTATTTAACAATTTTAAATTTTATTAAGAAGAAAGAAGCTATCAATTATCCGAATCAAACTTTTACTAAACAAAATTAAATATCTTAAATAAATCTCTATAAGCTCAGTGGTCAGAGCAGTCTAGCGGCAATAGAAAGGTCGTGGGCTCGTATCCCACCATGCTACCGTTTTTCTGGATTCTTTGATAATTTTGAAATTATTAATTAATTTCGAAAATATTTTTCAGATTAAGGAGGTTTCTGTATTCGGGCAGCTGTGCTGTCGATACATATGAAATCTAAGAGCTTATAGAGATTTATTTAAGATATTTAATTTTGTTTAGTAAAAGTTTGATTCGGATAATTGATAGCTTCTTTCTTCTTAATATTTAACTGCCGAATGATAAATTCACTTTCTATAATTTTAAATTTTATTAAATTTTAGTTAAATTACTTTTAAATTTGAAGATAATTAAATTTAAAAATCGTTTTCTATTAATTTAATTGATTTCTCATCTTTGTAATACGTATGTAATTAAATTTAGAATTTATTATTACATTAAATATTGAAATATAATATATTTGATACATATAATAAAATATTAACTTATTAAGAAATTAACTAATGAACTTTAATTTCTAAAATTATTTCAAATCATAAACATTCTTCATTTATAAATCGAAACTAAAGATTTATTAATTTTTACAATAACATGTTCGATAATATATATTATTATAAGAATATGGTAATAATATATAGTAGGTAATATAATATATAATCGTATAAACTTTTTTTTAAACTTGCAATTCTGAAGACATAATCCGCATTATTTCGTGCAAAGAAAATGAAGAAATCATATTTTCTTAATACTGAGACTTAATATTAAAATATAAATTTTCTATTTATATATGCAATATATATAAAAATATTATTGTTAAGTAGAAAAATAACCTTTATAAACAAATTATTTTCATCAAGGTTTTTGATAACATTCATTTGTAATCGAAACAAAAAAAACACTTTTAAGGCACATTTCTCAAGCCGATGGCTTCTCCATAGTGTTCTTAATTTCCTTCAATAGATGTGCACTGTAGTCTAAGAAATTCACTGGCGTAACACTTTGTACGATAGCTCTAACTTTGGATATATTCTGTAAAATTAAAAACGTATTATTATTTACTGTAGGGACAAAAAATTATACTAATAGTACTATTTTCGTTATATTATTACTTTAAATTTATGTTCATATATGGGTGATTAAATTTAAAATAGCATTTACATTTACCTCCTACTCAAAACTCTGGGTTTCCTAATTTTTAAAATAAAAAAAGTGTATCGAAAATCATTGAATTCTTGCCAAAATTTTATCAAAAGATTTGAGATAATTTAATTCTTTCGAAAAATTTTACAGGTTTTGGTAATAATAAATTCAGTTCTTTCAAAAAATTTCTTTCATTTATTGAATATAATCGATTTTGTTAATAATTGTAATTAATAATTTAACTATTAAAATTTTATTTAAATTATTGATACAAAATTAAACTCTTCTAAACAATTTTATTAGAGTTTTTGTAAATAATTAAATTTTTTTGAAGAATTTCTTTAAGTATTTTTTAAAAAAATGTAGTTTCTTGAATAATTTTAATTGAAGATTTTAAAGATAATTGAATTAAACCAAGAATTTTTTTCATTTTTTAAAAATATTCTTGTCTGTTAATAATTATAATTAAATATTTGATTATTGAAGTTTTTTAAAATTGTACTGAAAATAATTGAAATCCTTCAATTCTTTCGAACGATTTATTAAAATTTTATAAAATAATTGAATTTCTTCGAAAAATATTATTAATATTATAAATTTTTTTATTAAATTTTATTAAAATTGTATTAAAAATAATTGAATTTTTGCAAAAAATGTTACTGTTTATAAAAATAATTAAATTGCTTCGAAGAATTTATTAAAATTTTGGAAAATAATTGAATTTTTTCAAAAAATATTATAACTAATTAAGAAAAAAATTAAATCCTTTCGTAAATTTTATTATTATTAAAATTTTAGAAAATAATTGAATTTTGTTGTCAAATTTAATTAAAATTTTGTTGAAAACAATTTAATTTTTGCAAAACATTTTACTTTTTACAAAAATAATAATTGAATTCTTCCGAAAAATGTTATTATTTGTGAAAATAATTTAATTCTTGTGAAGAATAAAATTATATTAAAATTTTTGAAAATATAAACAATAAAAATTAATTAGTACTTAAAAAATGGATTTTTTAAATTTTGATTAAGAAATAATAATTCAAAAATTTATATTTTAAAGTAAAAACATTTTGTAATTTGCATAATAATAATAAATGGAATATCATGCTTATGAAATATGAAATTACATATGAAAAAAATATGAAAGAAAAAACAGGGAAATTACTTACATTGAAATGCTCCTGTTTCATTAATATTTTGAAATTGTAATACTTTAATTTACAATTCTCAAATATATCTCCATAAGCATCAATTGATAAATTTTCTTGAATATTTCCAACTTCTTGTGCGCTTTTATTCAGAATTTGTTCCGCTTCATTGTTGAAAATAGTTACTCTTAATTCCTGAGTGTAATCAAGTAACGATGCCTAAAAAGTAAATAAAAATTTTACATTAAAAACATGTTTTTATACATATTATATAATAATATTAATAATATTTTTTATTGTTTTTTATTGTTATTACTACAAGTCTGCATTTTTTTTTAAATTCATTCCTGATCTACAAAAGTGTATCCATCTTTACATATTCTTTTTTTATGACTTTTTGAACTTTTTCTGACTATTTTCAAAACGGTGTCTTTTTTCGATTAATTTTTTTAATAAAATGTGACTTTTTCGACTTTTTATTCAAATATTGCAACAAAATTTTAGAATATATTATATTGCTTCCTTTGCTTCCTCATAGAGGATGTATTGCAATATGTACTAAAATTTTTTGAGTTTGATTTTTTGACATATCTTAAAGTGATTTGACCTCAGAAGTTGTAGGTCTCACGCGCGGACATAAAATGAGAGTACTTTGAGATAGATTAATAAAGTTTAACTATTTTTTTTTTTTTTAATTTTGCAAAAAAACGTTTTTTGCCCATAACTTTAAAAAAATGTTAGGACACCTATAAATGGTTTTCCATAATTTTGTAGAGTTTTTTTAGACCAGGGTTGCTGCAGAAGTCTGTTTTTAAATTTCCATGACTTTTCCAGGTTTTCCAGTACCAAATCTGATAAATTTCCAGGTCACCTTTTGAACATTATAAATTAGAGCAATTTTTGAAGAAAAATTGGCCTAATAATAATAAATTAGAATTTTTCTGTATTATAAAAATATTCACGTTAGATTATCTCTATTTGATTATTAAAGCACAGACAGGGTGTCTACTGAAAATATGACTTAAAATTCCAGGACAGATTTTTTATTTTTCCAGGACATTTACATGTGTAATATTATTTCATATTACGATTAACATAATTTAAATTAACCTATCTATACTTGAACAAAAATATTTATTTTATTATAAAAAGAGTTCAAAATCAATATTATATATAGATATCAGATTCTTTAATCAAACGACAAATTAAAATTATTTTTTGATGGATCAAAAAAATTATTTTTTTAAATTTGAGTAAAATTTTTAAATTATTGAATATTTAAAAGCAAAATATGGAAAATTCAAGGATATTTCAGGACATTTCCAGGAATTCCAGGACATCATTTTTTAAAAGAAAAAATGTGGGAAAAAATATTAAGTGGAATAAAATTCCAGGCATTTCAAATTTCCATGACATTTCCAGGTATTCCAGACCATTTTTAAAAAAATCCCTGACTTTTCCAGGTATTCCAGACCTTTTTTTAAAAAATCCCTGACTTTTTCAGGTTTTCCAGGTTCTGTAGCAACCCTGTAGACGCATCTTTTGAGCACTAATTCATCATTTTTCGTCCATATTAACCGGAGTTATTAAACTTTTAAAAATCTAAAGTTTTAGAAAATAAGACTTTTTTGAAAATTTTGTTGAAAAATGTAGAAGTACACTACCGGTAAAAATTGAGAAATCACCCATTTTCAAATGAATGAAAAACATAAAATTTATGGAAACTAAAAATTTTTTCTTTTTATTTTTTGAAAGATAGTAAAATTTTGAAAAGAATAAGATCTTTCAGAAGTCATTTGGCCAATATTTTATTTAGATATTTTAAAAAAATCGTCATTTCCAATGTTTTACAAAAATTTGAATATCTTCTAAAATAATAAACGCTTTTAATCATCTTAGCCTTTTTTTATAGGTCATTTTCTACAGTATGAGAATTACTTATAGGCATTGACGTTTGAATTTCGAAATTATTTTTCTGGTAATAAGATTGTTTCAAATTTTTTGAATTTTTTTTGGTCCAAGTTTGACGACCTGCATTTTCTAAGAAAAAAATTACACGTAGTTATGCTAGTTTAATAATAATTTAATAATAATGTAGAAATTACCTGAATAATCATTTTGTAAGTAAAATTTGGAAAATCCGCATTACACTTAACACATCTGTACATTCCATTAATTGGATCCAAAAGCTATGAAAAAAAGAACATTTTTAATATATTTTTAGTAAAAAGAATACGTTTTTTATTGCAAAGAAAATGTATGCAAGGAGAAATTAAATATTTTTGTAATATAAACAAAATTATAATTTCTTTTAATATTCACAAATAAAATACCTTTTTATTACAATTGTCAGAAGGACAAGCTTTATATAAACAATTTTGATGATTTAAGGAGCCAATGACTGCTTTAGTTAAAAACATATTGTTTTTTTCTTGTAATCCAATGTTTTGTTCTTGCACTTGTAGGAAATTCAACCATGACAAACTAGAAGAACTAACACTTATTGTATTTGAAATCATTTTGGCAGTTTTAGCTTTTTCAGTGTCATTGTACCACGTTATTATTCTGAAAGAACATAAATTATTAAATTTAGATAAAATAGTTAAAAAATAATATCTTTGCTTTAATATTTATGTCCCTAAAGTTTTGATCATTCAAAGAAACGAAGTTTATTTATTTCCTTTTCAAATTTAAATTTTATTATAAATAACAGTCACGTATTAAAAAATAATTTGTAAACTTTTAAAATTTTTAATAAATGTTTTTCGTTTTTTTAATGAGTAATTTACAAAAATATTTCATTCATTTGAACGTTCGAAATTTTTGAAATATAAATTTTCACCTTTTTTCACTTTTTCAAATATATTTGTCTTCGATTTGAAATTAATTAATTTACCTGTCGACATCTGGAATTGCTGGATTAGCTTGTACGATTGTTGATGAAACTGTTGAAAGTGATTTATCTCCATTAAATTCTTTAACCGTTACGTTTTTAAGAGCAAGTGGTGTACCTTCAGTTTCACTGAACGCTTCAGCCTGTGCACCCCATAAAGTTAATGTTACCTTGAAACAAAGAAAATGTTATTTTTTTGCCTTTCTTTTCATTGACGACAAATCTTTTTCAAATACACAAAGAAAAAAAAATATTTTTCGAAAGTTGAATTTGTTCGAATAAATTTTATGCTTACCATAGTATTACTGTCATCAACTAACAGTAAATTACGTTTAACAAAATCAACTCCGCTTCTTTGTGATGTAGATTTCACAACTTCTCCGACATTTTTTAAAATTGCAAGAATATCTAAAGATTAATTTTATGTTAATTATCAATTACAAAATACGTCCTCTATTCTTATTTCGTATTTATAAATAAAATTTTTTCATTTTTTCTGTTTTGAACTTTCAATTGAACGAAATTTAATTATTTCTACTTGAAACTAAAAATTTATTTTAATAATTTTGCGTCAAGTATAGAAAAAATAAATTATAAAGATTCTAAATGTTTAATTTTGTTTTTAGTTTCTGTAACAGTCATAATAATATTTGAAAATATTTATACTGACAAAAAAATTTCTCGTTGATTTGAGCGTTCAGAACTTGAGGAACACTACCTATCCATATATTTAATATTTAAATTCAAATCTTTAAAATTTTTAACTAGGCAGAATATTTTAATTTTCCAAACATGTAAAAAAGCATTAGCTTTCTTAAAAAAAATTAAATATATTAAACCAAAAAAAATATATTAAATATATTAAACTAAAAATTAAACTTAAATATATTAATATTAAATTTATTAATATTAAACTTAAATATATTTACCAACAGCATAACCATTTTCTTTAAATTCGATGTCACTAATGACACAGAAATCAAATTGTATCATTGGAATATGAAGATCTTCGCCTTCATATCTCAGAATTGATGTTTCTGCACCTAATACAAGTTCGAATTCATGTTTTATTGTAGTGTACCTTTTGTTCACCGGTTTCACTTGACATTTAGAAATATAATATATACTTTCAATCTGAAATTACAAGAAAGCAAATTGTATAAATTGTTTTTTATTTTATAAGATATTTTACAAGAAATTCTTATAATTTTGTAGCTTTGAATACCAGAATTTTTTTGATGATTTTAAATTACAAATTTCGAACATGATTGTTTTCTCCAAAATGTTAAAAATGATTCTAAAAATATTTCAAGTTGTTATTTTTTGAACCTATGTATTTGGATTTTTTGGAAATATGTAATTGAAAATATTGAAAATAATTGAATTTAAAAAAATTGGAATAAAAAATTTAAAGAATTAGGGTCATTTGGGGTGAATGTAAACAGTAGATGTTTCAGCTAAATTTACAAATTTAAAAATAAGTACGACGTCAATATTTTTACCTCAGCTCACCTACAAGATGCTCTAAGTATTGCCAATATTTTTTTTGACAATTGGCAATGCCATAGTGTAAGTTATCTTTTAATGCAAAAAAGATTGAAAATCAATGTTTTACTGTTTCAGTATTTTGTCTCGCATTTGCATAAAAATAAATTTAAAAATACATAATCAAACAAAAATATGTAATTCTTCCTTATTAATGCCCTAACAAAAATTGACTTTGATTTTTGATTTTCGTCAATTTAGTTAATAAATAATTAAGTGTTTACATTTACCCCGAGAATTCGAAAACTCGGGGTAAATGTAAACAGAAGTTGAGCTACATTTTAAAAGAAAATAATTGAATAAATTTGCTTTTATTTCACAATTTCATTAATTTGGCAATGTAAAATTACATAAAAAAGGAAATTAAGTCCTCTTTAAAAAAAAAATTGGATAAAAAAAAAAATTTTTTTTGAAAATTTGATCAATTTTTAAAAATATTTTCAGGTTCATCCGCCATTTTGAAAATTTAAAATTTGACTTCAAATTCGTATTCAGCGATTTCAAAAACCCCCGAGTAGCCAGATTCAAGCAAATTTGAACAATTTTTAAAATATTATTTTTAGGTTCATCCGCCATATTGAATCCACCATTTTGAAATTTAAAAATTCGATTTTAGATTCTTATTGAGCAACCTTAAAAACTTCTTCTTACTAAGTTGAATGAAAATATATTAAAATTTGTTCAAGTTATTCAAGTTTTTACATTACTAATTTTGTAAGGGTTGATTGTTTATCTTATATGATACATTATCAGTCAACTGGTTGATTTACTATACATCAACGAAGAATTTTTTTTCAGTTTTTCCATCCCTTAAAACAGTAGTATACTTGAAATAACTTGTTTCTTAAACCTCGCTTAACTACAGTGGTGTTTACATTTACCCCGAATTTTAGGAAAATTTCAAAATCTCGGGGTAAATGTAAACAGTTAGTTTTAGGCGATTCAGGTGCATCAATATTTTTTTGTACCTCATCAAATTTTTCTAGGGAACTCTAATAACAAGTTCATGCAAAAGAAATCCGTCCGTTTTACCTTTTAACAAAAAATAATGTTTTTCTTGAAAAATAGATATTCCGTTTACATTTACCCCAAATGACCCTACTATTTTCAAACATATCTATATTATTTGGATAATAATCTTTGTATTCCGGTAATCTGTTTGCAGTTTGAAGTTAGTTGCTGTTTGCTGTTTTCAATTTTAAAATAAATGTACTATAAATCATTGAATTCTTGCAAAGTATTTATCAGGAAATTTGGAAATAATTTTTTTAATAATTGAATTCTTTCGAGAAAATGTAATTAAAACTGTATTGACAATAATTTAATTCTTGGCAAGATTTTTATTAAAATTCCGTAAAATAATTGAATTGTTTTGAAGAATTTATTTCAATTTTCTTGAAAATAATGTAGTTTTTTTAAAATAATTTTTACTGAAAATTTTCTTTCAAGTTTTTAAAATAATCCTGTTTATTATTAATTGAGGATCTGTATCGATGAACTCGCTCGACGCGCGAAAAAAAGGGATAATACCAGTCGGGAGCAGTGAACGACCCAAAGCCCTCTGGGGTCGAACAAGTTCTTCGATACAATTGAATTGTTTAGAAAAATTTTATTACAATTTTTAAAAATAAATGAATCTGTTAGAGAAATTTTATTAAAATTATTTTGAATATAATTGCATTTTTTTCTAGAAATTTTATTAAAATTGTATTGAAAATAATTGAATTTCTCAGAAGAATTTGATTACTTACAAAAATAATCGAATTGTTTCGAAGAATTTTATCAGAATTGTTGAAAATAATTGAATTTTTATTAAAACTCCTGGAAATAATTTAATTAAAACAATATTTTTAAAAATAATTGTATTCCTCCGAAACATTTTATTATTTATGGAAATAATTGAATTCCTTTGAAAAATTTTGTTATTTATGATAATATTTTAATCTTGCGAAGAATTTTCTTATTTATGAAAGTAATTGAATTCTTGCGATGAATTTTACTTACTACTTATAAAAATAATTGCATTGTTTCAAAGGATTTCTTCAAATTTCTTGAAATTTAATTTAAATTTTGTTAAAAACAATTGAATTTTTGCAAAAAATTGTTCTTTTTATAAAAATAATTAATTAATAATATGTATTAATAATAGGTAATTAAAATTTTGGTGCTCATTTCATGAACACTTTGCTTTCTCATATAGAGATAATAGTAATAATAATAGAAATATATGAATAACGTTTCATAAATATGGTAAAAGTGATTGAATCTTTGTTCAATCAATGTATTTTTAAATACCCTACAAGATAGTTATAATAATTTAATAGTTAAACAAAATTTTTCAAACAAAAAAGTAAAAAAAAGTGTCATTTTTCACAATTTTTGATTTTTAAAATACCAATAATTTCGAAATTTATGATCGAATTAGGTTCAAAAATAGGCCAATCGAAGCGTTTTTTAATGCTCTACAAATTGGTAACGAGTCTTATTTTCCAAAAATTTTGATTTTTAAAAGTTTAATATCTCCGGATAATATAAGCAAAAAATGTTGAATAAGCGCTCAAAAGATGCGTCTAGGAAAATTCTAGAAAATTAGAGAAAAATATTTATAGGTGTCCTAACATTTTTTTTAAGTTATGGGCAAAAAACGATTTTTGAAAAATTTAAAATCCAAAAAAAATGTAGTTAAACTTTATGAATCGGGCTGAAAATACTCTTATATTATATCCGCACGTGAGACTTACAATTTAAAAAAAAATTCGTCCCTGAAGCTCTTCATAATCTTGAGATATTTATGAAAATGTAATATTTACACACACACACGGAATGACATTTTTTAAAAATGTCATTTTTGAACTCCTGAGGTCGAATAACATAAAGATATGTCAAAAAATCGAACTCGAAAAATTTTGGTATTACAATACCTAAGAGGAAGTAATAAATGGAATCACACGTTCCGCGCGTATTATTTGCTAGTTTTAATATAACTTTATAGGTAGAAACTATTTTCCTAATTTTTCATTTCTAAATTTACGCTAGAAGATTTTTCATTAAAATTTATGAGAATTCCATTATTTCCACAATTTGCAATTAAAATTCTTCAAAAGTTGATTTTCAAAAATTTTAATAAAATACTTGAAAAAATCAATTATTTTCAATAAAATTTAACAAAATTTAAATTATTCAAAATCTTTTGAATTGTATATTTCAAAAATTTAATTAGAAAATTTGTTCTAAAATAATTTTTAAAAGATTAGTCTATAGTTATTTTTCACACTACAAAAATCGAAATAAGTTGCATTTTATCTCTTTGCCGTTCATATGTTACGAAATGTCGTCTTGAGTCCTTTTTGGGGGAACAGCCAATGAGAAGAGGCGTTTATGCTTGTGTTGATAAGTTAGTTATGTGTGAGTATGTAAGTGTCTAAATTTGCAGCATCGTACCTTCTCAAAATTGAAACCGATTTATATTTTACAATAAATTATATTTAATTATAGAGTCATTCCATTATATTTCGACTAAAGTCGTTGCTGAATAATTTTAAAAAATTGTAATATTTGGCAGGAATGATGTTAAAGATATTAGGATCACCGAACAAAAAGAATTTTTTAAATATTTTTGATATTTATTGTAAAATAAGCATCTAAAGTATATGAAGTCGTAAAAACTGTCACTTTTTCATCTATTAGAAAATATCGAAAATATTAAAGAAAACACATAATTTACTATAAAAACGTAAAAAAATTATAATAATTTATTAAGCATGAATTGTTTTATTATTATAAATTGATAAAAACAATTATTAATAAGAAATATTAAATAAAAAATTATTTTAAAGTTCACCTGCCAAATAACCTAAATTTGCCAATTTCATTCACTAAATGTGAGAAAGAGAAATCATTAAATTGAATAAAACCTTATGAAATATAAAGTACCTGCGTGATTAACTTTTAGTTTTCCTTATCACTTTCTTCCTTTTTTCTTCACAAATGTGAAAAAATAAGCAATTAAAATTGGCACTTTGCTTATTTTCACGATTTTAAAATGTAAATAACTTCTGCCCAGAAAAATGAAAAATTACGAAAATTGGGCAATAATTAATTGATCACTAGATACACTCACTGGAAGAAGATTTTCTTTGGTCCCGAAGCTATTTTCCGAATTAATTAACTTTAAACTTTTTACTATTTTTATCAGGTTAATACATGTGATTTTTTTAAAACTGAAGTTGGTTCAAAACGATTAAACAAGAAGAGCTAACTTCGTCCTTTAAAAAATTATTGCCCAATTTTCGTAATTTTTCATTTTTCTGGGCAGAAGTTATTTACATTTTAAAATCATGAAAATAAGCAAAGTGCCAATTTTAATTGCTTATTTTTTCACATTTGTGAAGAAAAAAGGAAGAAAGTGATAAGGAAAACTAAAAGTTAATCACAGGTACTTTATATTTCATAAGGTTTTATTCAATTTAATGATTTCTCTTTCTCACATTTAGTGAATGAAATTGGCAAATTTAGGTTATTTGGCAGGTGAACTTTAAAATCATTTTTTATTTAATATTTCTTATTAATAATTGTTTTTATCAATTTATAATAATAAAACAATTCATTTTTAATAAATTATTATAATTTTTTTACGTTTTTATAGTAAATTATGTGTTTTCTTTAATATTTTCTAATAGATGAAAAAGTGTCAGTTTTTACGACTTCATATACTTTAGATGCTTATTTTACAATAAATATCAAAAATATTTAAAAAAATTCTTTTTGTTCGGTGTTTCTAATATCTTTAACATCATTCCTGCCAAATATTACAATTTTTTAAAATTAGTCAGCAACGACTTTAGTCGAAATATAATGGAATGACTCTATACTAATTGATCACTAAAAATACAATTTTTTGTGTAAAGTGCAAATGTATATTTGCAATTTATTACAATTTAAAAATGGTAAATTTGATTGTTAAAAACTTTTATCAAACATAAATATCCTATGTAAACATAACCTCAAAATCAAGCTAACTTCCGGCCCTGATATTGTCCACGTGATTCAACTGTCAAACTGCTTGTTTCTGAGGTGGGGAAAACTTATGTACGGCAAAGAGTTATACTAAAAAAATGTGGTATTTTTGTTGTAATATTTGGAAGAAAAGTCGAAAAAATAGCATTTTTAAAAAAAATATGTCGAGAATAAGTATAAAAATAATAAAATTTATCCGCAAAATTCACTTACTTGAAAGAGATCATAAAATGCATCGACTTGATCATTAAATCCGGTACAACGAATTTCTCCGGATTCGTCTATCAAATCTAATGAAAATAATTTGCCTTCGCCTCGTGCATTACTCCAAGTTCTAATGTCAGACTTTGCTGAAACTCTTGCCCTTATTATCCATCTGTAATATTATTAAAATCCAGGAGTGACAACTATTAACTTTACCAAGTAATAATTAATTCTTTTTCTTCTATTATTTATTTCATTTTTACATTCTAATTTTTTATTTTATTTACTTTATTTTTTTCTTAATATTTTCTCTAAATGTTTTAATATTTACTTTTTATGTTTTAAAATTCTTTTTGACAATTTATTATCATATATAAATTTTAAACTATAAGTTATTTTATATTTATTTCAGAAACTATTTACCACTTAAATAAGTTCTAAAAAAGTAATTTAAAGTTAAATACTAACTTTCCGTAGTAGGGACTTAAATTTATTAACGGGACAGTGTAGATATTTTGATAAACTGAAGACTGACTAGCTCGAACAATTTCAGTTTCATTTTGTCCACTTTCTGGATTATTATTCACAGGATTTGCTCTAACTTCTTCCACAACTAAAAGAGAAATTTTTTGCAGTTAAATATTTTTCAACAATAAAATGAAAATTTCAAAAATTTCAATATTCAAATTTCTTTAAAACCTGGAAGTTGATCTTTAATATTTAAGCCTTTCGGTACATAGGTATATGGATTCCCAATGAGATTTCCAATTTGCTCACCGGATGTTACAATTTCAACATTCTTCACCATAATAACAGAACTGAAAAAATATATTATTAATAACAATACTAATAATATAATAATAATTTAAAGTGAATTTCATAATTAAAAATAAATTCTTCATTTGCAAATTAACAATGAGAAATCGTTTTCTTTTCAAAATTTAAATAAATGAGTATTCAAATAAAAACTTACTTCACCAAATTTTTAAGAGTCCCCAATTCGTAACTATTAACTTTACAAATAGAAAATTTTGATAAATTTTCATTTTCTAGAAATTCCATTTCGTTGGATAATGCAAGTGCAAAGTTTGTCATCATAACCCCATCGCTTAACCATAGCCTATATTTATCGCCCTTAAGTAATTTCGATCCCTTCATAAAATCAAAAACAAACAATTATTACACATTTTTCTTAAAGACCTCAAAAATTTTTATTTTTTTAAATAAATATTTATCAGGAAGAAGTGACTATTCTTTCATTTGAAAACATGAAATTATTTCTGAATTCATCTTTAAACTTATGAATCATAATTATTTAATTTTTAATTAATTAATTTAATTTTGTTTAATTATACTTTATCAGGGTTGCCACATTTTAACAAAAAAAATATAATTTTTTGCAAAAACTCAATTATTTTCAGCAAAATTTTAATAAAATTTCACGAAAGAATCCAATTATTTTCTAAAATTTTAACAAATCCTTCGAAACAATTCAAGTAAAATCTTTGAAAAAATTTAATTATCTTTAATACAATTTTAATAACAATTTCGTGAAAGAAATCAATTGTTTTTTAATTTTCAATAATATTTTTCGAAAAAATTCAATTATTTTCTAAACTTTTAATAAATCCTTTGAAACAATTCAATTATTTTTTAATTTTTGATAAAATTTTTCGATAAAATTCTTTGCAAAAATTCAATGATTTTCAATACATTAATTTTTAAATTGAAAATATTTAAAAAGAAAAACATTTTCAAAATTCAATTATTATCTAAAATTTAAACTAAAATTCATTTTTAAATCAATTTTTATTAGAAAATTCTACGAAAATATATGGAACTTAAATTTTTTAACCTTTAAAGTGCTATGCCGGTCTGACAGACCGCTATTAAAATTTTCTTTGCTTGAAACTTTTTTTCAATGTATAATAAGAACTTGAACTTTTTAGTAGCTTCATATTTTATGAAAATCTGTTAGGAGACAACTTTTTCAAAAATTTTTATTCGTTAAATTTTGTAATATAAATAAATATTTGAAGTATAGCGGTCTGTGAGACCGGGGTTAGCTTTAAGTGAAAGTATATTCCAGTATATTCCAATGAGTGACGTCTGCGCAACTTGACGCGCAGCTAGTTCTACTGACAGTTCTCATAGACTGCATTTATAAAATAAATAAAATAAATAAATGCAGAATACAGAAATGACTTTTTTTGTTAAAAAGTAAAAAATATTTATAATAGTTGTCTTTTAAAAATTATAAATGACTAAAAAACTGTCAAAAGGGAATAGCGGTCTGACAGACCGGGGTTAGCACTGAGCGTGATTTTTCAACACTTAGCACTTTAAAGGTTAATCTAAGTTCCATTAAAAATTCTAATCAAATTCATTCAATTAATTTTGAAATGTTTAAGTAAAATTATTCATTAAATAATTACACTGCGTCTATACGTCCGACTAGCCGAATAAAAAAATTTGTCCGGGTACTGTTAGCCGGACGCAATAAATTCGTCCGGATACTGTCTAGCCGGACGTTTTGCTGCATAACACAGCTGGGTCTAAACGTCCGGCTAGTAAAATACTAACTAAATAGCCGGTCAGCCGGATAAAATGTTTAGAGTCTAAAACGTCCCGATAAATTAATGAAAGAAATTTTATCTGTATATAGTAAAAATGAAACTGAAGTTAACAATGTTGATTCAACGAAAAAATGTTTCTCTGAAAAGTTCAGGATACAAATTTTTCTTAATAAAATTGTTCATGTAAACGATGGGGAAACATTAGTTCGTATTTTTTTGTGACGGATTTTCTAAAAATCACGAAATTTCAACTAAAACCAAAATTATTGTTTCTTTGCCTTGAAAGCAATTTTTTTCTTTTCACGATTATCTATTTTAATGTCAGAAACCATTTAGAAAAAATTTCAAGAGGATGTAAGGCAGGGAATGCAGTGAATTTGAATTTTTTTTTGTCACAGATTTGACGAAAATTCCGAAATTTCAAATAAGTTGTTAATTTATTTTAATTATTTAGTTTAATTAATTTTCTTGACTTGGAAGCAATTTTTTTCTTTTGATAATTATTTATTTTAATATCAGAAGCAATTTTAAAAAGATTTTAAGAGGATCTAAGGCGGGGAAAGCAGTGATTTTGAATTTTTTGTCGTAGATTTTCCAAAAATCCCGGAATTACAATTAAAAAACAAAAATCACTTCTTTCCCCGCCTTGAATCCTCTTGGACTTTTTTAAATGGCTTCTGACATTAATATGTTAAGTCTAAATGTAATAAAATATAATTTATTTAAATAAAATAATTTTTTTGAAGAAGAGTAATAGATAAATGTTACAGTTACTATAAAAGTTTAATCAAAATTATAATGTTGAATAATTTGAAACTTGTGTAATCCTGAAGAAGATGAAAATTCAACTGGTAAAATTGTTATATATTCTATATTATCTAGTTGTCATTTATTCAAATGCTGAATTTTTCAAAAGGTAACTTATTAAAATATTTATGTTATGCAAAACTTCATTTTCTCGAACCATTATTAACTCAAATTACCATAAAATATATTTTTTAATGTTTATAAAAATGTCATATGACATAATGTTTACTGTAACAAATGTTAATTGCAAATAATTTTTTCATAACGCGGTGCAAAAAAGGGCACTTTTTTGCACCTTGTTATGAAAAATATCGTTCGTAACTAGTGCTAGCAGTTGCCAATTTTTGAACGAGCACTTTTTTTGGGACAAACTGTAGGCGAAGCTTCGCTTCGCCTACAGTTTGTTCCAAAAAAAGTGCTCGTTCAAAAATTGACAACTGCTCGCACTCGTTACGAAATATACTATTTTATACTCGAATTACCACTTTTACAATGTTAAAAAATCCAAATGGAGTTTTAATCTAAAAAAATTGACTACCAATTATTATTACAATAATTGACTATAATATTTTATAATGAAGAATAGTCAATTCTTTAACATTGTAAAATTGGTTATTCGAGTATAAAAACATTATTTGCAATTAACATTTGCTACAGTAAACATTCTGTCAAATGACATTTATAAAATAATATTAAAAAATATATTTTATGGACATTTGAGTTCATAAATGTTCGAGAAAATAAAGTTTTGCATATCATAAATATTTTAATAACTTATCTTTTGAAAAATTCAGCATTTGAATAAATGAATAAATTTCAAATTATTCAACATTATAATTTTGATTAAACTTTTATAGTAACTGTAACATTTATATAGAACTATTACTCTTCTTCAAAAAAATTATTTTATTTAAGGGTTAACACCACTCTAGAGGCAGAAAAGAAGACCAATTTTTGATGATTTGTTTTGGGAAAATGAAAAAAGGAATAGGTTTTCTTTTTGGAGGGTTTGTTAAATACATATTGAAGTGTAGAAAAAAATTTTTATTTTAAATTTTATAACAAAATGGCGACGATAAATTTTATAGTAACAATCGACTAATCTTTTTCTTAACAAAACGTCCAGAAAGAGTTTTTGAAAAGTTCAAGTCCTGGAACAGAAAACAAAGAAATTTCATGATGTATATAATATACACGGAGAAAAATATAAAATAACTTTTACTACTTTTATAGAAAAAAATTTTCGGTAAATTTTTTACTATAAAAGTAGTAAAAGTTATTTTATATTTTTCTCCATGTAAACTTTGGAAGTGCATAAGGGTTTTTTATATATCAATTTTTGTAAAAATCGCGCACTTTTGGGTACAATAATCGATTTTTTGCCAAAGAGTAATAAAAAGTAAATTGTTTATAAAAAATAAAGTTTACATCAAATTAAAAAATCTGTATGTAGTTCCAAAGTTTATAGTATTTAGTTTGTAAAATTTCTTTACTTTTTGTTCCAGGACTTAAACTTTTCAAGAAACCTTTCCGGCCATAAAAAATAGTCGATTTTGAATATGAAATTTACCGCCGCCATTTTGTTATATAATTTTAAAAAAAAATTTCCACACTTCAATATGTATAATTAATAAATCCTCCAAAAAGAAATCCAATTCTATTTTTCATTTTCTCAAAATAAATCATCAAAAATATAGGTCTCTTTTTCTGGCTCTAGAATGGTGTTACCCTTAAATAAATTATATTATTTAGTAAATGCGAATCGGATAATTTGCTTATTTGCTGAAAAATAAATTCTATGATAAACTCACTTCATTAACATTTAAAACTTTTTAAATGGAAAAAACTACGATTAGAACTTTTTAAATTCCGGAAATATACAGGCGTCCCAAAATATTTTTGTGAACAATAATTTTTTTAAGACTTACAATCTTTAAAAAATATTGTATTCTTAATTTATAGACATTTTTTAAATAAATAAATAAAAAAAAGATATATACATAAATAAATGTTAGTCTTCTATTTACATTATTTATTTAACAAATATGTGTTTGTAAACTCTGCATAGAATATATTTTGATGTTTATTTATCTGAAAAAAATTTATTATAAAATATTTTTTGTAAATATTTATAAAAAAGCAAAAAATTAACGGAGTGTCTATTTGGCCCGTCACCCCAGTTCCATACATTTCAAGACGGGCCAAATAAAAAAAGTAGTTTATTTGGCCCGTCAGATAACAAATTAGCTGTAATTAATAACAATAGATTATTATTATTACTATTTTTACAAATAGATTAATTTAATCACCAGGTACTATTTTTTACATGAATTTGACAGGTAATGTAATAAGAAAATTCTTCTTAAAAATTTTAATAAAATTCTTTGAAACGATTGAATTATTTTTAAAAAACAAACGAATTTTTCACAAAAAAATAAATTATTTTAGCAAATAATCAAATTCTCTAAAACTCAATTAGTTTAAAAATCTACTATTTTAATACAATTTCACGAAAGAATTTAATATTATTTATAAACAAAATTTTGATAAAATTCTACGTGAGGTGAGAATTCAATTATTTTCATAAATAAATACATTTTTCGCAAGAGTTCAATTATTTTTATAAATAAAAAAATTATTTTCAGAAATTCAGTTATTTTAAAAAATTTAAATAAAATCCTTCTCCAACATTGAATTATTTTTATAAATATTAAAATTTTCACAGCAATTATAACTCTAAAAAAATTTTATAAAGTCCTTTGGAAGAATTCATAAACAAAATTTTAAGAAATAATTAAATTAAAAAAAATCGCACAAATCCAAGACTTTCTCATTTTTTTATGAGAATGTAAAAATTGTATACTTCGGAAATTTTCATTATTGTAAAAATAATATTTTAATTTTTATATTTTTAAAAAGTTAAATTTTAGAATAATTACAGTTAAAGTGAGAAAAAGTGAAATTATTGAAAAAGTAAATAAGTATTTAAATATTTATTTAACTATGAATAAAAATTAGCCTTTTCAAGAAAAGCAATTGAAATTTTTTTTAGTTAAATTCCCGTAAATAATTTTAAAAAATGAAATTGGAAATTGGAAATTTTCATTGATATTTTATGATTTATGATTCATTTATATTTTAAAGAATTTTATTGTTTACTTTTAAAAATTATTTTTAAATATAATTTATAATATTATGTATACTAAATATGTTTATAATTTGCATCTTTACTTTGAGGTTAAAATATACATTACCTGCATGTCAAATTCATGTAAAAAATAGTACCTGGTGATTAAATTAATCTATTTGTAAAAATAGTAATAATAATAATCTATTGTTATTAATTACAGCTAATTTGTTATCTGACGGGCCAAATAAACTACTTTTTTTATTTGGCCCGTCTTGAAATGTATGGAACCGGGGTGACGGTCCAAATAATAAAAGTAACTTATTTGGCCCGCTGACGGGCCAAATAGACACTCCGAAAAATTAATATAATAATTATAGAATGACAATAATTATAATTGTTATTACTATTATTATGCATATTATGTTTTCGCATTTAGTTATCAAATTAATTTTATAATTCATAACCTAAAAATGTCAAAAACATTCAAGGAATATATTATACTTGTAAAAATCTAATAGACGGACGAATTATAAAGTTCATTATTTTATCCGGATACTGTCAAACGCTTATCACCAGTACATACAGTAAATAGCCGGATGAAATATTTTGGGAGCTATATGTCCGTATATCCGGACGTTTAGACGAAATATTTCGTCCGACTAGCCGGACGTATAGACACTTCGAAATAATTAAAAAATTATTGACAGAAATAGAAAAAATGTTAAGGTTTTATATCAGAATTCGTGGTAATTTCATAGTTTATAAGGCAAACAAAAAAGACACAAAAATTCAGAATTAAAGAAACAAAATGTTGAAAAGATTTTAAAACTTGTTTTATTTCTCAACAGCAAGTAAATGAAGTCAGTGGGGAAAAATTAATTTTTTAAATAAATATGTTGAAAGAAAGAGTGTAAATATTTACCACAATTTGTAAAAACATGGGATCATTTATTGCTTCTCCATTTATAACTCTCTAGAGCAAAAATTAAGAATATTAATTTAAATAATAAAACATGATTTATATTATAACAAAAAGTAATTAACAAGAAAAAACTCACATTCAAAACACCGGTTGATAGTTGCTCCATTGTAATTCAAGAAAAAAGAAAGAATGTCTTTTCTAAAAGAAAATATTAGATAAATAATTCATTACCATTGCATATCGATGAAAAATACACATAAATTTGTATGTAACATACAGAAATGTATGTTTTTTTTCTTTACGCTGCCATGGGACTGCACCCTAATAGAAAATTAAGGCCTTTCTCCAATAGGATCCAAAAACTCTGCGTTTGTCTGCGAATGACTGCGTTGCGTTGATTTTAGCATGTGTTGCTATAGCAACCGACGCAGACGCAGAGTTTTGGGAACCTATTGGAGAAAGGCCTTTAGTACGGAAGCTTCTACGCGCCACCATGCGGCACTCACTCGTGTTGTGCGGCAGGTAGAGAGGAACCGGCCTGTTCGTCTTGAAGGCGAGAACACAATCCATGGGTACGCGAGCGACGTGAACGTAAACGTATGACGTCACCCATTTAGTTAACATTGTGACGTCAGCACGTTACACGTTCACGTAGGCTATTCTGTTCTCGCCTTGATGCGTGCCTCCCTACGTGCCTAGTAGCGTTCCTAGTTGTAGCAGAAGAGTTTTGAAAATATTTTGTTACTGAGTATTTTATTTATGAAATTGGAATAAATCTAATCGAATTATGTTTTATTAAAATAATTTCCAGTCTTTTATTTTGCATATATTGTCATTGGTTTGCTCGAAAATTTCAATTCAATACCTTGACATAAACATAACCGCAAAGTAAAAAGTGATTATTTTGAATACACTGTAAAAAAATCTGGTGTAAAATAACACGAAACTTGTAATTTCACACATCAAAATTATAGGTTGTACGTAGTAAATTTATTTCGTTCCAAAAGTAGTTTTACTATTTTTAATAATTTTACATTATACGACTATGTAATTTAATAGTTTTGTGTAAATTTACTACGTCCGACGTAGGAAAATTTGATCACTATGTCCGACGTGGTATTTTTACATTGCGTGTATTTCTACACTTTGACGTAATATTACGTCGCACGATCTGTACAATTACATGGCGAATGTAATTTTCTTATTCCTTTAAGATTTTCAAAAAATTTTCAAGTTTTTATAAATAACTCTAAAAAAGTGTATATAATGTACATTTATAGAAAGTATATGCTAATTTATAAGTAAATAATAATATAACAAAAAGTTTTGGGCTATATTTCATAAATACAAAAAGTTACGACTGAAAATATTATTTCAAAAAATATTTGCAGGTTATGTAGATTACAGTCGGCGTGTAAGGCTGAAGTCCCATGGCAGCGTTTTGCGTTGCGTTTTGTAACTAGGCAATGAGTGTGAGAGAGATGGAGATATATGTTTGCTATATTTGCACTCATGGCCTAGTTACAAAACGCAACGCAAAACGGTGCCATGGGACTGCGGCCTAAAAATACCACGTCGGACATAGTGACCAAACTTTCCAACGTCGGACATAGTAAATTTACACCAGATTTTTTTACAGTGTAGCAAATAAAACTATATAATTTAAATTTATTTCAACAATATCAATTGCAATGTTTCTTGTAATTAAGATGTTTTGTTTGTATTTAAAGTCGATCTGTAATTATAATTAAGGAAATTTTAAGGTTTTGGGGTTTTGGTAATTTTCTATAAAAAATAAAAATTAGGTACAATTCATTTAGGTTATGGGCAGAATTGAAGCAAGCGAATGTATAGGCCAACGCAGAATAGATCTGTAACCGGAACCGCAATCGTAAGCGTAACCGTAAGAATGAGTTAAAGAAGGATAGGTATATTGCTTATCCTTCTCTAACTCATTCTTACGCTTACGGTTACGATTGCGGTTCCGGTTACAGATCTATTCTGCGTTGGCCTTATCACCCCAGTCCGACTCCTATGTATTTTGAAGGAAAAATATGTCAGCTTAGTGGTTTGCGTTTTCATGTGCCAAAAAGTAACACGTGATGGCGCTGTTCTCAACACTCGCTCAAAATTCACTAAAGCAATAGAAAAATATCATAGAAACGAATAAATTATTTGTTTTTATAATGAAATCTTGTTGTTAGTGATGTTAAAAATACACGATAAGAAATAATATTGTATTTTTAACTCATAAAAGATGATAGAACAATTGAATAATTAGTATGAAAATACATAAATGTGTTGTACAATAAACTGATGACTTTCGTTTAAATCGTTTAAATTATCAGATAAACTGATTTATAATAAAAGTTAAAGGAAAGTCATAGATAAATAGTATATTTAAAATAAAGAAAACAAATTTAGATAATATAAATACCATTAACCCTCCGTCACACACATGAGAAAATATTCCGACCTTACACACGTTCAGAGGGAATCGCTCACCACATTGTAAAATAAGCAACATTACAACATAAACAAAGGAATCAACAAAAATTTAGTTTTAACACAAACTTACAAATATGTAGTAAATTCCCAGATAACAAAATGCGGTCACAGTGTCAGACACTAAGCTCGCACGCATGACTGAATCAAACAGATGCGTCCTCAAATGCTACGCATTTGACTCGCACGCGTGAAGGTCGCACGCGTGACGACAAAATGCGTGTTTTATATTTATTTTTAATCTCAGTTTTATTAGAATTAAATTAAAAGGAAAGAATCATACATCATTTATAGAAAACCAAAATGAAATATTTTATTATAATGAATGTTTATAATTTTGTGTACGTTGACATAAAAACTTTAATAATAATTGTATAAAAGCTCTGATATAAATAATAATTATTACTTTGAAAGTAACCAAAAACTACGACGATATTTATTTTAAATTAATATCATATAAAAAACTTGTTGAATTATTAATTTGGAAAAGTTAAATAGAAAGAAAATTAAGATGAATCATTTGCCGAATCATCTGCCAAATCACCCGACAAATCGTCCTTCTCGTTTGAGATAATCATCTGTTGACTCTCTAATTCAGCGATTTTCTGTTTTAGTTCGGCTTCATCTTCTGGTGAATAATCAGGTAGATGTTTTTTCAAATATTTTTTGTACCTTTGTTTGGTATGCCGCAGTACTTCCAACATATGACTTTTAAAAATTTCCTTATTTGCCGGTCCATCAAAATTTGAACACTTTTTCGCCGAAACTAAAAAATATATATAAATATTGAATACACTTAAAAGTTTAAATATTAAGAATGTTTTTAATAAATGAATTAAAATCAATAGAAATTCTATGTTTTTAAAATTTTCGAAAATTGTTGAATACATACACTTTGCCTTAAAAAACATACTATCAGGCTTCACACTCATCTACTAAAACCTACTACTCACTAATTTTTTACGATTAGCCACTATTTCGATATTTTTTTTTAAATTTTCGACACTAAAAGCTACTTTTTTAATTTTGTGATAATTTGCACTACTTAAAATCTGCTCCATATAGTTGCAATAAACAAATTTTTCTTTAAAATTTTCAAAAAATTCTAAAAAATGTTTTGCAAGAAATTAATTATTTTCACAAATAATAAATACTTTACTGTAATTCAATTTTTTGCAATATCTACAATTTTAATAAAATTTCTTTAAAAAATTCAATTATATTAGAAAAAATTTAAGAAAAATTCTTCGCAAAAATTCAATTAATATTATAAATAATAAAATTTTTACAGGAATTAAATTATTTGAAATGCAATTTTCAAGAGTATTATTCCAAAGAAACCAATTATTTAAAACATAATAAAATTGTTTAAAAGAAATTAATGATTTTAACAATTTGAAAAACATTTATTTATAAGAATTAAATTATTTTCTCATATAAAAAAATTCATCGCAAGAATTCAATTATTTTGAATACAATTTTAATTAAATTTTTCGAATTAATTGGATTATTTTTTTAAATATTCATGAAATGATTCAAAAATTCAATTATTTAAAAAACTCTAATAAAATTTAATGCAAGAATTGAATTATTTTTATAAGTAACAAAACTTTTCATCGGATTTCAATCATTTTTAATAAAACTTTAATGAATTTGTCGAAAAATGAAAATTGTGTATAATTAATTAAATTTTTGTAGAACTTTTTAATAAAAATAGATTTAAAAATGAATTTTAGTTAAAATTTCAGATTATAATTAAATATTGAATGAGTTATAATACATATTATATTTTTAGAAATAAGTAGTAAAATTTCAAAATGGTTTTACATTAAAATTATTCAAAATTTTCATTCCTGTGGACAAATAAATAAGTATTTATATACTTGTTTAACAAAAATTATTCAAATACAAATAATTGAATTTAGAAATTATAAAAAAATAATCCTTTGAAACATATGAAATACAATTTTTGGAATATTAAATAAGTTAAATTATCGTAGAAATAAAATTTTTTTATTTTAATTTACATATCATTGAAAATTTTACAAAATTTAATTAAAGTAAATTTACTTTATTTAAAAAATTAATTTTTTTAGCTTTAAAAATTATTTTTAATAATAATAGAATTTTTGATGAATTTTAGCCAAATTTTTTTTTGCAAATCTACAAATGTCAAGAAAATACAAAATCAAATTTTTGGGAATCGACTAAAACGAGTTTTTATTTGTTAAATTTAATTTTTCTATAACTACTTTATAATACTTTTTTCAGTCTTAAAGATACGTTTTTTACTTTTTTAAAATCAATTATTGAGTGCAAAACCCGTTAGTCCTTTTTTCTAAAATAGAGAATAAGAAAACTTACGATAGAAAGCATTGGCAACTGTTGTGTCACCAAATTTTAAGGAATTTTCTCCCCCATTCCATGTAAACGAATAAACCAATTTGTCAGTCAAAGTTTGCTTCATTGCCGTCGATAAAAAGTTCCTAATACTTGCTGCTCCCAAATTGATCAGATGGCTAATCTATATCAGAAAAGCAACGGAACAAATATATAAGAATGTCGTCTAATTATTTTATACAAGCGTTGGAAATTTTTTGCATTCCCAGGGTTCGGATCGTCTTTAAGACATAGAAAAAGTCACTTTAGTCGCATAAATTTACAACAAAAGTCACGAAAAGTCGCATAAAATTGCCGAAAAAGTCGGAAAAAATTCGCATGAAATTTTAGAAAAAAAGTACAAAAAGGAAACACGAAATTGTCAAAATTGTAAAAAAAAACCACAGTTTTTGCCAACACATACTGTAAGGGGCACACCTAGTGTGAGTGACTGAAAAAAACGTCGATATTTAGAAATTTTTTTCAGGGAAATTATTGCATCTAATTTTTTTTTGAAGTTTTGTACATGTATATTTGTATAAATAGTGAACATTTTGTAATTTTTGCAAAGAAAAATATCTTTTTTTTAAAGAGTTATTCGCTATATAAAAAAAAACCAGTTTCTCCACTGCTGCAGTTATTGCGGCCTTCTGAGTGACTGAAATAAAAAAAACCAAAAAGATTATTAAACTAGAAGATATTTGCCGTACTATGAGGCTCCAGTTTTTTTTTTTTTGGATGAAAAATAAAATTTTGGGATGCCAAAAACTATCGAATTTTTTAGTCGAAATTTATAGATTTTTTTCAAAACTCCGCCATTTTTTTGAAATTTAATATTTTTTTCCATCCGAGGGTCATAGTACGGCAAATGTCTTCTAGTTTAATAATCTTTTTGGTTTTTTTGACAAATAAAGGTAAAAAAAATTCCTAAAAATCACCGTTTTTTTAGGCGCTCACACTAGGTGTGCCCCTTAATATCAAACAATCCGGAATAAAATTTAATAAAATTCATAGAAAACTTTTAATTAGATATTTCTAACATTTATTTAAAAATTCTCTTTAAAATGGCAATTATTTTAATAAATAATAAAATTCTTCTCCGAAATTTAATTATTTAAAAAAAATGTTAATAAAATTCTTGTCAACATTTCAATTATCTTTATAAATATCAAAATTCTTCTGCAAAATTCAATTACTTTTCAACATTTTTGAAAAAATCTGTTCAAAATTTCAATTATCTTTATATCTAATAAAATTCTTTTCTAAAATTCAATTATTTGCAAAGAATTTTAATAAAATTCTTGTCAACATTTCAATTATCTTTATAAATAAAAAAATTCATCCTAGAAATTCTATTATTTTCAAATTTTTTTTTAATTTTATTGTCAAAATTTTATTTATCTTTATAAATAATAAAATTCATCAAGGAAATTTAATTATTTTTAAAAGTTCTGATAAAATTCCTTGCAAAATTCAATTATTTTCCAAATTTTTTTTTAAATTCTCCTCAAAATTTCAATTATTTTTGTAAATATCAAAATTCTTCTGCAAAACTCGGTCACCTTCAATTATTATAAAACATGAAGACATCGATTGCTCCGATTCGAGGACTCGAAATGATCGATTTCTTCACGTTTAATAACAATTTTTTTTAAGTTGTTTAATTTCAATAAGGTTTGAATTCGAATCTTTTGAAGAATTTTAATTCCTATGGAAAAATAATAATAATTAAACTTTAACTTAACGTTAACTTTAACGTTAGCTTCTTCAAATTTAATAATAATTAAATATTTATTTAAAAAAGAAGTTATTGATGTTTTCGAAAAATTTGAAAGAAATCTGTAAATAAATGTAACAAAACATTTTTTTGACTTAAACTTTTTCCTTTAATTTTCTAAAAATTTTTAAAGTTTCATTTTCTAATTGACAAATAGAATTTATAAACATTTTTTTTCATTAATTTTTTAAAAACATTAAATTTTATTAAAGCAATTGTAATTAAGAAATAGAAATTATGCAAATTATTTCCTTATGAAAATTGAGAATTTCCTACAAAAATATTAAGAAACGGGATAATATTGTTGTTTTTCCCCCCAAAGAGATGAATGATTTTGTGAACAATATTGTTTACAAAAAAATATTTCTGCCATTTACAATTTAAGTCGAAAAGTAATTGAAAAATGGGAAAAAAGTCGATTAGACACATTTTACTAAAAAAAAATTTCCAAAAAGTCGATTAGTCGCATTTTTTCAGAAAAGTCGAAAAAGTCGCACAATCCGAACCCTGTATTCCCAATATAACTTTTCATTAAATGATAAAACTTTAGTGAACTGATAAATTTACTGAAAAAAGTTTACAAACCGACAGATTGGCTCAGTCGGATAGATGCCTGGCGTTGGTGGTCGTTTAAGGACCAAGGGTATAAGTACCCTTGGTTCGCGCCCACTTGGCTTGGTATTTTTCCGGCACGTGAGACAATCTGAGCGGGAGGTTTGACGTCGAGGTATAATGATGTGCACCGTCGATTATTGTCCGGTACACACCATTAGAACTCGACTGTCGATAAACCGGTTGTACTCAGGAGAGGTTTTCTACAGTTTCCCTCTTCTCTGGCGAGAAAACCCATTGACGGGTGGTCCAGGCGCAATGCGAGTACTCCTAATAAAGTCGGCTGTAGACGCAAATTAGGTTAATATATAGAAAATTTCTAAAGTAGAATGGTTATGCTTAATCCAAAAAAAAGTATTTCTCGGGGACTCTTGTCGAAGTGCGTAAGGCCAATAGGGCAGGAGTATAAACAAACAAAAAAAAAAAAAAAAAAAAAAAAAAAAAAAAAAAAAAAAAAAAAAAAAAGTTTACAATGTCAAAAGATTCCTCTTATTTCGCAGTAACTTTTATTCTTACTGAGATTATAGTAAAAACTAAAAAAAATAAATATGCATACAAGTGAATTGCGTATCTCTTCCCCCTCTTTAGATTCCATCTTCGAGAATTCCTCCACCGTATCTATAGGAAATCCAGTTAGAGGAGATAGTAATTTTTCTGAGGCATTCTTCTGATTCTGATTTTGAAGTTTCGTCAGTTGCTCAGACATTAAATTTTGCTGGCTTAAAATCTTTTCCAGTTGTCCCAAAATCTTGTCCTGTTGTTTTAAAATCTGAATATTTTGGGCTTCGAGAAAGCTGTAAAGCAGATATATTTTTTTTAATTACAAAAAATATAAATAATAATTATGTTTTATATTTATATAGTTTATAATTTTTTAAATTCTTGAACAAATGGAAATCAAAATTTGTAATTACAAAAGTAATATAGAACTTACTCCAATTTTTCAAACATTTCTAACTCATTGCGATAATTGTATTTTTCTGATACTTCCGGCTTACTGGAATAATTTGAGTGTCCCTTTTCGGTCGTTTCACTAGAGTTGGATACAGTATTATTTTCCAAGTTCATATTCGCAGGTTTTGCTGATATTCTGTGATCTTGATTTTCTCTAAAAATGTTAGTTATTTATATTAATATCATTAACTCGATTAACATTTTAATGTATATATACAATATTATAAAGTATTTTTTCATAAAGTATTAATCTATTTCGAAACTTGAAAATATTTTCTCTTAATACTTTAACAAATTATTATAAAACTTACTGCAAATCATTTGATAGCTCCGGCTCAGAGCCATAGTTAAAGTCTCTTCTCGTTGTTTTAGAAGACTTTGAACTATCACTTTCTAAATCTGCATTTGTGGATTTTCCAGACTTTTTTTTAGCATTCTTTTCTCTAAAACATAAGTACAATTATGATTATAACTAATATTACTAAAGAGCAATTCCACGCCAAGTGATCATAAGAATTTTCGATGATTTTAGCAATATTAAAAATACTTTCAGAATTTCTTCCTTTTTATACATGAAAAAGAAATTTCTAACCCAAATGAAACTTATGAAAAAATGAAAAAAGTACATAAGAAACAAATATAAATTTCTTACCCTAACGTTACGTCCGTAACTTCTTGTTAATATACCTAATTTAACTTCGATACTTAAGAATGTATTTCCTATTTTTTTTTGATATTGTATTTTACTTATACGTTGTATTATTATTCCATGTATTTCATATTATTGCATTATAATTAGCATATTTTATATATCTTATATGTATCTAAACAATTTGCAAGTATAATGAATTCAAGAAAGATGAGTACCCAGGCGAGAACTGACGCTAGATTCAGGCTTTACGGAACCTTCGTTGAGGCTTGGTCAACATTGATCAAGCCTTGGTGGGACGGCGGAACGAAGGTTGCTTCTAGCTATAATGTAACACTTATTTAAGACTGACGCTCCAGTCTTTGTTGTAGATTGGCGTTCAATGTTCAATCAATGCTGCGGAACCCTATAATGCAGGACTGAAACAAGGCTGCTTCCACTGTTCCAAAATTTACGCCTCTCTCGCGCTCATTCAATATAATATGAATATATGAATTGTATATAATAATAATATTTTAATAATAATTATTATTATTATTATTATTATTATTATTATTATTATTATTATTATTATTATTATAGTAATGAATATTATTGATATTATTTTTATTCATGTTATATGCGTCTGTTTGGAAATAAGTTACTATTATAATAATTATATTATTTTCATATAAATAATATATTACTAACAATAAATGTCATTTGAAATAGTAATATTAAAAAAATAATTTTAGTAAAAAAAGACAATTTTTCTGTTAATCGACACATTTTTTTCTCGATTTTTTAGCAGACTTTTTAACATTATTTACAAACATTTTCACAAGTTTTTATTCACAACACACAACACACAATTTTATTATTTTATATAACGCTTAAAACAAAGAATGAAAAATATTCGCTCGCATGTGGGATCGAACTCACGCACCCCGTCCCTAACGCATACCGGAAGTCCTAAACGCACGCATTTAAACCGCTCGGCCACAGAAGGCTGGAAGGCACCTCGCCTAATCTACTATTTCAATGCCAGCGCAGTATATTCTGTATATACGGCGCGTCACTCAATATTTGTTCAGCATGGGACACCAATGTTCGTCCCATGCTCGATTAAAGACTCGGTCAATCTTGATACAATATTCACTTTCTTTATTACCGTGTGCACTGAACAATATTAAATATAAATATTTATAAATTATTTATTATTAAAATATTTTTATGATAATTTTATAAGTTAAATTATATATATTATTTTTTTTTCTTGTACAGTGTCAAATTATTATTTTCAAAGTTTAAGAGTTTCGTTTATCTGAAAAATTATTAGTGAAAAAAATGTTCATTAGGTAGTAATAAATATTTATGCTTAGTAGTTTTACACTAGGATTAACTGTTTAGTAAATATTATCAAAAAAACTATTTTTTGTCAAACGCGCGCGACTAAACACAAATAACCTTGAAACTCCAGCATTACCAACTCAACACATACGTTAAACTCTTGAGTTGGCAATGTTAAAGTCTCAAGGTTATTTGTGTTTAATCGCACGCGTTTGACAAAAAATAGTTTTTTGATAATACATATTTACTAAACAGTTATTCCTAGTGTAAAACTACTAGGCATAAATATTTATTACACCCTAATGAACATATTTTTTCACTAAAAATTTTTCAGACAAACGAAACTCTTGAACTTTGAAAACAATTATTTGACACTGTGCAAGAAAAAAATAATAATGTATAATTTAACTTTATTTATATAAATCTTATATAATTAATAATAATAATTATTATTATTATTATTATTATAAAAAAAATAATATTTAATATTTATTTTTAATTTAATATTTTTTTATACCTAATAATAATTATTATTATTATTATTATTAATAAATTAATAATTAAAAAAGAATAATATACACTAAATAAATATTAATATTTATTTACCAATTGATATCTTAATAATAATAATTAATAATAATTTTTAAATAGTATACAAAATTATCATAAAAAATATTTTAATATTAATTAATTTATAAATATTTATATTTAATATTTTTAAGTGCACACTGTCAAGATTGATTCAGGCTTGAATAAAGATCAGATGTTTGAGCTTCACTCACGAAGATTGACCGAGTCTTGAATCGAGCATGGAACGAACATTGGTGTCCAATGCTGAATCAACATTGAGTGACAGTGGTATAAAGACTGCTTCAACACTGGGTTACCCAGGCTGGGCGTTCAAGGCTCAATAAATCTTCAATCCATCGTCAGCATTGGTCTTTCGCGCCTGGGTAATATTTTAAATCCTGTAAAAAGAATAACGATAGTGCATCAGTTAAACGACCTTCAAAAAATCTTCGCCACAGGCAGGAAAACAAACAAGCATTGCAGTCGCCGACACCCCCACTTAAAATCTACCCAAAATCGACACGTGTAGAAGAGTCAACAGTCGCCCCGAATTGCAGCAGCATTGACCGTCGCCGAGACCCCACTTAAAATCTACCCAAAATCGACACGTGTAGAAGAGTCAACAGTCGCCCCGAATTGCAGCAGCATTGCCGTCGCCGAGACCCCCACTTAAAATTCACACTTGAATGATTTCAAAGCATTACATTAATGAAGACAGTTTTATATAAAAGGGATACAAATTCTGCAGATATCAGAGAGTAATTTTTTGGGAATCAACCTGTACACATCGCTCAGTCATTATCAAATTGTCTACAAGTAAACATCGCATAGTTTACAAGTGAATTAAAAGTACATCTTTGAAAGTGAAACGTATAACCCCAAGTATTATTTTGAACGTACATTATTAAAAGTGAACTATTTCCCCAAGTATTAAATAAGAAGTGAACTTTAAACAACCTCTTATAATAAATTTGCAAAGTATAAATTTTAAACAATTTCCAAAAATATTAAATTGGAAATAATCTCAACTATCAACGAAGACCTAATATTGAAACAACACATTCCAAATTTCGAACCATCGAAATTTGCTCAAGAGGCGACAACCGTCTGGAATGAAGCAGATATTTTAACAATACAATACACTATCTCCCACATAGCACCATAGTATGAGGTAAGGTTATGTTGAGTACTAATCGTAAGGCACATAAGGTTACACAATATTGCTGCGGTAGACCTGAGGTGAACTAAAAACTTCCGCCATGGAGGTAAGGTTACATGTTAGGGTGTGGTGAGTATATATGATAAGGCCATGGTAACCTTACACGTTAAGGTTAAGGTAACCTTACACGTTAAGGTTGATGTAACCTTACACGTTAAGGTTGAGGTAACGTTACATGTTAAGGTTGAGGTAAGGTTACATGTCAAGGTTGAGGTAAGGTAATTATTAAGTTGTAAGGTTGAGGTAAGGTTAAGGTAAGGTTGTGATAAATTTACCAGTTATGGAAAATATTAAAAAAATAATTAATAAATAAATATTCAATAAAAAAGTTAGTTTGTTGCTCCTCTCTATTTTGGAAACCTGACATGAAGCAGAAAATTTTGAAAACAAATTTGGGGGGACTGGGATTTGAACCCGGGATCGACGCGCATAAACCTATCATTCTAACTAACTGAGCTAAGTAGAGAACTGGCAGAAGGAAAATTAATGTTGCCTTTAAGGTGAACCAAGAAGATGATTAACTCCTTAAAGGCAATATTAATTTTCCTTCTACCAGTTCTCTACTTAGCTCAGTTAGTTAGAATGATAGGTTTATGCGCGTCGATCCCGGGTTCAAATCCCAGTCCCCCCAAATTTGTTTTCAAAATTTTCTGCTTCATGTCAGGTTTCCAAAATAGAGAGGAGCAACAAACTAACTTTTTAATTGAATATTTATTTATTAATTATTTTTTCAATATTTTCCATAACTGGTAAATTTATCACAACCTTACCTTAACCTTACCTCAACCTTACAACTTAATAATTACCTTACCTCAACCTTGACATGTAACCTTACCTCAACCTTAACATGTAACGTTACCTCAACCTTAACGTGTAAGGTTACATCAACCTTAACGTGTAAGGTTACCTTAACCTTAACGTGTAAGGTTACCATGGCCTTATCATATATACTCACCACACCCTAACATGTAACCTTACCTCCATGGCGGAAGTTTTTAGTTCACCTCAGGTCTACCGCAGCAATATTGTGTAACCTTATGTGCCTTACGATTAGTACTCAACATAACCTTACCTCATACTATTGTGCTATGTGGGCTCATTAGTGTAAACAAGAGGTCTAATACCCAACCACTAAGGACAACAAACAAAAGGCCCCTTTTCGTCTACCGCTCATCACCATTGAGATCGGACAACAGATTATCATCACACCACCAGTAATCGTTATTCTTTAAGTAAGATTCATAATTTTTGTACTCATTGTAATTTTGTCAACTCTTTTCTTTCTTGTTGGTTTTTAAATAAATTATTCTCTCACATTTAGTAGGCTCATTGACTTATCCTCATCCCAAATTGGATTCATTTATGAAACCAATTTAAAACGAGGAACGTTAGGTATATTTAAAAAGGTTTCTCGTTTTGACGTAACACTAAGTATAAATAGTTTATGAAAAATAGCAACAATTAATTGTTTAAACAATGTTTTAATAAATAATTGTTTTTTTATCATCAGTAGATATATTACTTATGAAAAATTGTACAATTGAGAAGAAACTAGTAATTTCTAGGCCTAAGTATACAGTTTATAAAAAATAACAATTAATTAATTAAAAAGTGTTTAATTAATTTATTCTTTATCAATCAAACATTATTTTAATAGGTTTTTTAAATAATTTTCT